CATATTCTGGAAGTTCCAGGAGAATAAAGAAAGAGTGGAAATAATATATGAATAAAAAAATTTTGAGAAATAATGATTCTCACATTTTATGAAATAAATAAATCTATAAAGCCAAGAAGCACAATAAATTCCAAGTATAGTAAACCCAAAGAGATTCACACTGAGACATATAACCGAACTGTTGAAAACCAAAAACGAGTACACTGTAAAAACAGCAAGAGGAAAATAACTCATTACATACATGGGATCCCTAGTAAGACTATCAACTGGTTTCTCAGTGGAGAAAGACAATGGGATGATACATTTAAAGTACTGAAAGAAAAAACTGTAACTGAAAGTTTATATCCAGCAAAACTGTCCTTAACAAATGAAGGAAAAATTAAGACATTGCTAGACCAGCAAAAGCTGAGGGAGTTTATTACCACTAGACTTGCCCTGTGAGAAATGATAAAGAGAGTCCTTCAGGTTGAAATGAAAGGATACTAAACAGTAAGTAAAAGTCTTATGAATAAATAAAGATCTCCAGTAAAGGTAAATGTATGGGCAAGTATAAAAATATTATTGTATCTGGGGTTTATAATTGCACTTTTATCTCCTACAGGATTTGGAAAGACAAATGCATTAAAAAATTATTAGTTGATTTTATTGTGCATGCAATAAAAAGATATAATTTGCAACAACAAAAACAAAGGAGACAAAATGATGTTGTATAGAAGTGGAGCTTTTGTATGTTATTGAAATTAAGTTGATAAAATTTCTGACTAGGTTGCTATAAATTTAGGTTGCTAATTGTAATTCCCATGGTAATCACAAACAAAATATGTGAAAAGTTAAAAAAAAAAAAGGAAATGAAATGACAGTCCAAACGGTTCACTACAAAAAAGTCAACTGAACATAAAAGAGGTCATTAATAGAGGAAATGCAGAACAAAAAAAGCTATGAGATATTCAGAACACAAAATGACAGAAGTAAGTTGATCCTTATCAGTAATTACTGTAAATGTAAATGGATTAAACACCCTAATCAAAAGACATATATTGGCAACAGTGCTTTCCAAACTTGTTTGACTTCAGAAGTTTTACAAATGGACTATAGTTAACATTTCAAAGGACATTTATGAAAGATAGAAACAAAGTACAAGGGATCATAATTTTGAAAGGGAGAAAGATGTTCTGCAGCAACAAATCCCCCTTGTTAAAGTGCAGACTGCTTCAGCAGGTCTCAGATAGGGCCTGAGATTTGGCATTTCCAGCAAGCTCCTAGGTGATGCTGATGCTGCTGGTCCTCAGACTACAATTTGAGTAGCAGGGGATATAATAGTACTGTTATATGAAGAATAGCACTATTCTTCATGATCTTGTTCCCTATCATAGCGAATTTGATCAACTGATATGAAAGTGAAGATGTTAATAAGACAATAATCAACCACTTCTTATGCCTCCCAAGTAGCATAATTACAATTTTATATTGGTTTTTAAGACAAATACCTTAATCCAAAGAAGATACTCTGAGAAAGTGATGTATCGCAACAAAGAAGATAAATATGGGATGGGGATTGTCATACTTCGTGCTGGGGGCAGTTGAGGGGGAACTGTTTTTTCAAATACATTTAAAGTACACCAGATCCATGTCTTCCATTTATATTTGGATTGCATACTTGAATTATGGCCAAATTACTCTGTCTTATAAAAATGAGAGAAAAAAATTAAAAACGAGAGCAAGATAGAAAGGGAAGAAGGTGACACCTATCTAGGTGACAAGGAAAGAGCAAAGGATAGGAATGATAGTGCCACAAAAGACTAGATGTCTACATAATTCTTTTCACCAGTCAGATTCTTATTCATCTCATTTTGGAATATCATCATTTTGTTGATAAATCAATTAGATGAGGTTAACTAGTGTAAAATATTTCCTTCTGTAGTTTACAGAACACATTCATTTACTGGTGATCACATCTAAGAAAAAGTCCCTGTCAATCAGAACACCTGAGCAGACTATTATGCTAAAGGCAGATGAAAGGTTGTGCTGGCCCATACTAGGATAACTCCTAAAAGTGGGGGGAAAAAGTTATCTACAAGTCAACCCAAAAAACTTGCAGATTAAGTTCCATATTTAGGTTGCGTATACCACTAGGATAATTGTATTGGCCTCAGGCTTTTTATCCCTGTAGTTAAGAAAAAATGTCCTTAAAGTTAGGCGATTTCTACCTCTTATAAACTCTGTGACCTTGGGAAAACGAATGATCGTTATGCCTCAATTTCTCTCATCTGAGAAATGGGGGTCATGATAATTATTGAAGAATGAAATAAGGCACTCACTGGCACACAGTAAGGTTCAAATATGTGTCAGTTTTGAGTATATGCATGTGCTCATCCCTCATCAAATAAACTTACTTTTTTCTTTCTAAGGTTTTATATAGAAATCCAAATGAACCTTGAAACAAAATGCCCAAAATTGAAACCGTCAGATGTAAAGAATTAAGAGAGATACAAACCAATGTAAAATACCACAGTTAGCAGGTCAGGAGGACAACAGGATATTATGAAATGAGAGTAGTGCTGCAAAATGGTTGAGAGTTTAGGTTTTTGGAATCAGAATGATGACACACTGAGTCTCAGCTTTTCTAATTATTGTGATGTGGCTTCAAACAAGTTAACCTCTCTAACACTATGTTTTCTCATCTGTAAACATTTACTAGAGCAATAAACAGATTCTTCTTTGTGAGGATTAGGCTAGATAATTTAGATAATTTTTAATAGACTTAGCACAGTGTAGCAATATATGGTAACTTAAAAATTATTTTGACTTCCAGCAACATAGTCATAATGCCACTTATCAGGAAAGATAAAAACAAATATATAATGGTATGACCCAGCTTTCTAAATGCTTTCAAGCCAGTTGAGTATGCTAGACAAGCAGAAAAAGTATAAGACAGACAGTGTTTAAATTTTCTAATTTCTGCTGGTTAAATGACATTTCTCTTCTTCCTATTTCTTTTTCCCATCATTAATTTATCTGTCTTGCATATAAGAATTCAGGAAAGTTTTCCACCTTGAAGTGGATGATCTCAAAGAAAATATTTCATTGTGCCGAGAGAGGGAAAAAACAAACATATATAATTTCTTGTGACTTGCCTCTGTCTTGTCTAATTTCTTTCTTTCTTTCTTTTTTTTTTTTTTTTTTGAGACGGAGTTTCGCTCTTGTTTCCCAGGCTGGAGTGCAATGGCGCGATCTCGGCTCACCGCAACCTCCGCCTCCTGGGTTCAGGCAATTCTCCTGCCTCAGCCTCCTGAGTAGCTGGGATTACAGGCATGCGCCACCATGCCCAGCTAATTTTTTGTATTTTTAGTAGAGACGGGATTTCACCATGTTGACCATGGTTGGTCTCGATCTCTCGACCTCGTGATCCACCCACCTCGGCCTCCCAAAGTGCTGGGATTACAGGCTTGAGCCACCGCGCCCGGCCTAATTTATTTCTTATTAGCAGAAAAATATATTTGTTATAAAACAGAATTTTATGGCCAAGAAAAAGAAACTATCCATTTTGCTTTTTTTTTTTATTATGAGTAAGCAATAAAGAAATGCAAAATCAAGCAGAATAGAAAGTGACCATGGAGAAGAATTCATGGCAGATGCTGACCTAAGAGGGGCTGGGTCAAATTTAAAATACTTGGAGCATTTCAAAGAGGTCTACTGAAAATTGTTTTGGTAATATGGTGGTGCCTGTGATTCTGTGCCTGCAAATATTTTTTACAAATCACAATTACTGTTTAATTAAAAACAAAAAAAGTTATGTTTCAAAGAATAACACACACCTCTTTTACCAAAATTCCTTGCTCCTTTCACCAAAAAATTTTGCCTGAGGAGTTACATTAGCCGTATACCCCAAATTTCCTTTCCTCATTTCTAGAACCTGACATAGACTTCTGAAGAAGTTTAAAAATGCAGCGTTTAAGGAGTTTTCACTACCAGCCTTTGAGGGAAGCCTTAAGCCAAATTCCTCCTCTTTCAGCTCCTACAGGTTTGTTGGGTACTGAGCCAAGTAGGGTGTTTCTTGAACTGGGCTGCTAATCCTTTGTCACATGAAGACATACACATTTCTACAGGAGAACGCAGCAAATAAACAGATACTTCATGGAAATATTAGCTCAAAAAGCATTAGGTGAAAATTCCACAAAGATAATAAATATCTTTCCCAGCAAAATGTTAATCAGGGAATCATCAAACAGTGATTTATCTACTGACAAAAGGTAAGAGAAAACGAGAGCTGTAGTCAGCCTAGTCACTGTGTCTCTGGAGATAAAAATGGACCCTTTCCTTGTTCAAAGTACATCTAGGATGCAATACTCCTTTATGCCATATTTACTAAGGCAACAATATGGATATTAAGTGATATTTCTGTTTGCGTTTATGTCTTAAGTAAATTTTCTTTGCTATATTTCCATACATCATTTTTCATTGGTGGTCAGAGGATATAAAGGAGTGGGGTAAATTCAGAGGTGTCAAGAAAATAAAAGTAACTCACTGATTTAAAGAATGTCATACAAAAGGAGGTGGATGTTCCTGACTCATCCATAACTCAAAATGCAGCTCCATTTTGACCTCATGACAAGGCTATTTCATCACTGTGAGGCAACTGCTGTTGATGTCTACAATGTTGATAATCCTAAGGTCAAAAATAAAGCCACCACCCAAAAGGCTATTTTAATAGCAATGTATGACAATGAATTCAGTTCAATAGTTTTCAGCTTATATTTTCCAAATCCAATGCCTCTTCAGGGTAAGTTGCCATTGCTTAACAGCCATAATCTGTTATCATTACGCACCTCTGGGTAAAACTTTTTTTTTCAATCTCACCATCATTTTAATTTTATTCACATCTCTAGCCAATTGCACAGATGTTAATGGAGCTATATTTTTGTTTCAATGTATATTGCAATATTCTTATTACATTCTGCAGGTCCTCCAGTAAACGTTACTTGCAATATTTTTATCAACAGTTTTGGATCAGTCACAGAAACCACCATGGTAAGTGCTACAATGCCACTGGCAAGAGAAAGACATGACTCAATTATGCTATGAACACAAACTGTCAAATTTTCTATTGTTCAACTTGCAGGGCCTCCTGTAAATGTTACCTGCAACATATTTATCAACAGCTTTGGGTCAATAGCAGAAACTACAATGGTGAGTGGGACTGAGCATTGAAGCCATTGTGTGAAGGAATGGGATGTGGGATTGAAGTGCACTGTGGCATATTTGTGGGACATTTACTGAGTGCCAATTTCCAACTTTGCTCGCCTCTGAAAAGCAATAATTTATACTACTTCATTTTTTAAGTCATTTGTCAAGTGTTCATTACTCAATATTCACTGATCTTATATCCATCATGCCAGAGAAATTTTTAAAACCCCTTGATGTTTTACTGGTTTTCTGTAGAATTATCCACAACAAACATGATGCATAGTTAAGGATATTTAAATAGGTGCATCTCCAATGCTTCAGAAGTATACATTTCAAAGTTTGTGAGATGTAATAGTATAGCCAGTTTTTTACATGTAATAGAATTTAAAAGATAGTTGAGCCTCACTTCAATGCCACATTTAAGATATATTCCAAGGGGCTGAACTTTGAAAAATATACATACACATACACACACACACGATTTTGTTGGCAAGAGAAAGTAGTCCCAAGTCCATAACAATTATACCGTATGCATGCCTTTCCAAAAAAAAAAAAAAACCCCACAAACTTAAAGCTAGTTAGAAGCTCATTATAGAGTATGAGTAGACATGTTTCATATACGTGAAAAAGATTTCAGATACTATAAAATCTACCAATGCTTTAAAAATTTTTTTTTCTTTTGATACAGAGTCTCTCTCTGGTGCCCAGGCTGGAGTGCAGTGACATGATCTCGGCTCACTGTAACCTCCACCTCCTAGGTTCAAGCAATTCTTCCACCTCAGCCTCCTGAGTAGCTGGGATTACAGGCACGTGCCACCATGCCTGGCTAATTTTTGTAGAGATGTGGTTTAACCATGTTGGCCAGGCTGGTCTTGAACTCCTGACCACAGGTGATCTGCCTGCCTCGGCTTCCCAAAGTGCTGGGATCACAGGCATAAGCCACCACAGGATCTCACTCTTCTGCCCAGCCTTGGACTGCAGATCATGGCCCACTGAAACTTCAAACTCCTGGACTCAAAGATACTCTTGCCTCAGCCTCCTAAGTAGCTAGGACTACAGGTGTGCACCACCACATCTAGTTAATTTTAAAAAATGTGGAGATGGGATCTCACTATTTTGCCCAGGCTGGTCTCAAATTCCTGGCCTCAAGCAATCCTCCTGCCTCAGCCTCCCAAAGAACCAGCATTACAGGCGTGAACCGCGACATCCTCCTTATAAAAGTCATGGTCATGTTACCTGTGACATAGCCTATTGGATCATTAGTCTTACCCCATAGAGTTCTAGGCTATAGCATGGAGCTTACATTTTGGGTAAAATATTTTCTTGGTCCCCATATATTTAAGTCCTAAATCAACTGCTTGGATCTAATTGGCATGACTGTAAAGTTTACACCATTCATTCAATGAAACCAAAATCAAGTATAATTGAATTTGACTAAGTATTATGGTGCCTGATGTCCTAAAAATAATAAGCGTAATGACATTGAAAAGTAAAAAAAAAAAAACAAAGGTTCCCTTGTTTATGTGAATTTTCTCTTTTTGGCAACAAGAATCAAGTTTAATAAATTACTGTACTTTGTAGTGTCCTTCATGTTAGAAATAATGAATTTACCTTTACCACTTTTTTCCAGTAGCAAAATTAGACATAATTCAACTATACTACCCATGTTGATATTACTCTGAAACATTATTACCCAGAAATGAGACTTGTGAGGCTTTGACAGGATGTAGTGCATTTAAAAATTTACCTAAATAGGAGAGTTTTGATAGGGTTATTAAATGACTCATAAGAAAAGCTAAACATGGACAGGGTAAACCAGCTCTTGGGTTGGCATTCAGTTTCTGTCTCTCCTCTCTTGGCTTTATCCTAATAAGAAAGGGACAAAGCTTCCAGTAGCCCAAATCACTGTCACCAGCTTTACACGATGGCATTCAATGACAATATTTGCACGACCTAATGCTGATTGCATTAATTAGATGCCCATGTTGCTTTGATTAAATCTCCTCATTGCATCTTATTCTCAATCAAAAATGTAAATGTGCACCTTTTCGATGTTCATTAATGCAAAAAAAGTTAAACATTTAAAGAGATTAAAATGGAAGCTCTGGATATCCTTGTTTTCTGCTGTCTTTAACAGCTACTGAAAGTGTTTCATAAATCAGCGGCTTTTTCCTGGCCACTTATTAAGTGACCTATGTCATACTTCCAATCAGAAAATTTGGAAACTGTTGCTCAAGGGTAACATAAACAGCCTGTCTCTTCTGTATAACACAGATTGAATTGCATGGTTAGAAGACCAATGTGTATTGTGCTTCTTTTGTTTTACTTCTTAGCTTTGATATAATGACAAGCTTCATTTACTTTAAAAAAATGTATCTTGTTTCATTCAATTTTGGCTTTGGTGCAAAACTACAGAAAATATTTTTTGGAACTCTATCATGCTTGTCAAAGAAGGGATCCTCAGGCCACCTAGGGTAGGATTGGCAAACTTTTTCTATAAAAGAGCAGACAGTATGCTTAGGACTTTGAGAGCCAGATAGTCTCTGTCACAACTGTGCCATTCTGCCTTTTTGGCATGGAAGCAGCTGTAAACAATAGTAAGCAAATAGTTGTCGCTGCCCACCAATAAAGCTTTACTTACAAAAACAGGCCAAGGCCCAAGTTAGCAAATAGGTATAGTTGGGCATCAATAAAGCTTTATTTACAAAAACAGGCTGAGGCCAAATTTAGGCCACAGGCCATAGGTTTCCAGACCCAGATTTAGAGCATCAATATTTAAATGGATGTATAATAGTAAGAATGTGAGAATTCCTCCAAGAAAGGGTCTTATCTTCCAAGATAATTGAGGCCCTGCCTGGGACTCCACCTAGTACACCAGTCTTAATTAGCTCAGGCTGTGATAACAAAGTATTATAGATTGGTTGGCTAATAAACAACAGAAATTTATTTCTAACAGTTCTGGAGGCTGGAAGTCTGAGATCAGGGTACTAGCATGGTTGGGTTCTGATGAGAACTCTATTCAGGTTACAGACTGTTGACTTTTGGTACTCTTGCATGGTAGAAAGAAAATTCTCTGGGGTCTCTTTTCTAAGGGCAGTAATCCCTTTCTTGAGTGCTCCACCCTTACAACCTAATCACCTCCCAAAGGCCCCACTTCTAACCTCCAATATTCTAACCTTGGAGGATAGAATTTCAACATACAAATTTTGAGAGGACACAAATATTCAGTCCATTGCCTACCCAAAGTGTCATCACAGCCCAGCTTTCTGTACCATACCTCTAAGATTTTACCATCTATGAATTTACTGCTAGTTTAACAAAGTTTGACTCTGAAAAATTGGTCAAAAAAATTAAACAGAAACAGGTTCTTCCCTGAACTGCCTTTAGTTGTAGTCAGAATCCTTAGCTTTATGCACAGTGATGAGATTATTGAGGACATTGATTGTTGCTATTTTAGGTTTCTCTACATTTTTTGAAATAAATTATTTTCAAGAATGCCTCAGAATTTCGAGTTTCTAAACCTGCTGATTTTCCTCTCTTCCCTTACACTTTACTCTCACCCCATTATCCAAATAACAACATTATTAAAAGATTTAGTTTGGGGTATTTGTTTCCAAAGAAAAGGCAATGATTATCTACTTCAAGAACTCAACATGGCTTTCTTTGGTGCTATCTAGTCTTCCCTTCCTACGGTTAATGAAGTCCCACTAACTTATTGTGGGTATTGTCTGCCCACCAATTCTCACTCTGATATGTTGATGTCAGAGATTTGTACTCACAAGACAATGCATTTGTGTTACTCTAAGGAATATTTTTATGTTTCATTATTTTTATGGATGTGTTATTCAAAAAATGCATTTTTGTTCATTAAGAGGCAGAAAAACCTATTAGTGGTAATTTCTAGTTGACCCAGCATTAAGAGTATTCAGTGGAACAAATTTTGTGTGGTCACAAAGATTTAGATGACTAATAAGAAGAAAATGATAAGATAGGTTATATTCTGTTTTCAAAATGTGAGTTTACCATTTTCTTTGCTTTTTTCTTTAGTTTCTGATGGCAAGTCAATGTATAGGATGGGGAGTATATTTGCAACCCCTATTTCCCAATATAAAGGCATAGTTTGAGAATTTTAGAAATGTCATTAAGGGTCAAGGGTGCTTGTATACCATCTGTATGTAGCTTTCCCCCAAGTTTGGGCTATCAGAAAATAGAGAAAACATGCTCTCTTCCCGGCTTCCAAATTACTGCCTGGAAGGATGTAGGTAGCTAGTATGTGATTTGGACATACAGATGCTGGAAGACTATCCATGACACAGCAGTGGATCCTAGTCTACTCCTCATTTAACAGATAGGAGGGTGAAATGAAAGTTTACAAAATGTGTCCACTCAGAGAACATCTCCAGAATATAATTCTAGCTCCCTCAAATCCTTTCCCCAAACAAACATTTCACATGTTTTGCTGGCTACTTCTGCTGAATGAAGAGTTGTTTTATCTCCAATCTGAAATCACATTCCTGGAGAACTCAGTTTAAGAAGATAGACAGCCCCTTATTAGAATGCATGTTGTGCTATAACTGCTGAAATGAGGCTGTGGGCCCCCTTTGATTCTATAGCTGCATAAACAAGTTATAAGAAGATGCTAACTTATCAGGGATAGCAGGTAGCTACATTTATTATTTCTGACTTCTTAAGAATGAAGAGTCTACTATAAGCCTGACTTTTTATTTTATTTTATTTATTTATTTATTTTGAGACAGAGTCTGCCCAGGCTGGAGTTCAGTGGCACAATCTCTGCTCACTGCAACATGTGCCTCCCGGGTTCAAGCAATTCTCCCACCTCAGCCTCCCGAGTAACTGGGTCTACAGCATACACCACCATGCCTGGCTAATTTGTGTATTTTTAGTAGAAACGGAGTTTCATCATGTTGGCCAGGCTGGTCTCGAACTCCTGACCTCAGGTTATGTACCTTCTTCAGCCTCCCAAAGTGCTGGGATTACAGGCGTGAACCAAAGCATCTGGCCCAGGCCTGACATTTTTTAAACAAATATATAAGGGTGAACTTGGTCTCTAAATTAGCAGTGCAATGGTAAAGCCTCAATTTATCATAAAGTAACTGCCCTCTATAACTTCAAACTCAAGGTTAACTTCCCATGTTAAAGCTCACACAGACTTGAGATTAGGTGTACTTGGGGCACTCTTCCCAAGAGTACTGCCTCCAAAACGCTCTATGAATTTGATCATCAGGATGAATTTGAAAAAAAAGTCGTGGGAATTTAGTAAATAGATTTAAAAATAGTTTAGTAAATAGATTTTTTTTTTAAAAAAAAACTATATTGAAGCTTTTTTCCGTATATCCTGATATTTACAACTTAATTATTTCTTTTCCTTTTTGATCCTGGGGGAATTTGCCCAAACTTGCCATCCTAAAATAATCTCCAGAGTACCCAGTAGAGTGACCAGTTATCCCAATTTGCCTACACCAAGGAAGTTCCCTGGATGTGAGAGTTCTGGGGCCACATTTGGGAAGTTCTCAGGCAAACCAGGACAAGTTAGTCACCATTAGAGTAATGTAAATAATGACCAAAAATCCAGGTATGAAATATGTGGAGATGGAGCAAGTAAGGGTAAAATATGTAAAGGAAAGAGAGTAAGAATGAATTAGTATATATTACACTTGTGGTCACAAGTAGCAATAATGCTTAACTACTAGCTCCAAAACCACAGAGGGGCTTGATTAAGGAATACTGTTGAAGCCTCAATCAATGTTCAGATTATCAATTGAAGTAGTACTTTGAACGAACCTCAGGTCTTCCAGTACAAGTCCCCAGGAGAGCAGTCACTGTCCCAAGCTATTCATTAGCACAGAAGAAAATTCACAGACCAAATGGGAATGCTAGGGGTGTAATTTAAATTCCTATAGTGTTCAGATTAAGAAAACATGAAGCATCTCTGTTTGGATGAAGCATCAAGTTGGCTAGTGTAGATACAACCCATTCAGAGAAAATGACAAGAATTTCAAAAGTAAGTAACTGCAAAGAAAGTATTTTGTTAGCATGAAAGATGTTGATGTTTATGTTGATACATTTTTAAAATACTGCCCCATCATGTCATAGTTTTGTAAGATTTTCACTACTCAAATTGTGCGATAGGTTTCCTTCTGCCCAGAGCATCTGAGCAGAAAGAGACTAGAGATCATGTGATTTCTGATTTGGAAAATGAATCAGTTTTATTTGACAATCTGCCATCACAGACTGATTTCTGGGTTCATGATTACCTTTTTATGTAGAAAAATTGGCTTGAGTTAGTATTATTTCATCCCAGAATGAATAATTTAAACATTAAAAAATCCAAGTCCACCTGTTTTATTGGTGTTCCGATTTGGTTGAATCTTCCCTTTTCTTTCTCCCTTCTGTCCCCTCTCCTAATAGAACTAAATGGTTTATTATGGCCAAGGTAGAAACAGCTTGGTTTACTTGGACACCAAAGCTGTACCAAATCAGGGAGAAGAGTGAGAGCGAAATGAAAATAGATCTCTTCTGCCAAGGTAATCAGTAATGCTTGTTCATGGCATTTTTGTAGGACTACCGAGTGAATATTTTTCTGAGACAACAGTGGAATGATTCACGGCTGGCATACAGTGAGTACCCAGATGATTCCCTGGACTTGGACCCATCTATGCTAGACTCCATTTGGAAACCAGATTTGTTTTTTGCCAACGAGAAGGGGGCCAACTTCCATGATGTCACCACTGACAACAAATTGCTACGGATTTCGAAAAATGGCAAAGTGCTTTACAGTATCAGGTAAGCCTCCATTGCTGCACATGTTCACGTCTCCATTTCTCTGCTAATGTAGAGTTGCCTGACTCTGCAGAGTAGGATGTATATAACTATTTGACTTTTGCGGTTTCTTGGTCTTGAATCTTAAAGTTGGTGGAGAGTGCCACAAGTCCCCTTGGTCTCATAAATGTTATTCTCCACAACAAAAATGTATTTGGTAGGATGGTACATGGGTAATGGCATTTTGTAATCACCTGCACAAATGTATTCTTGATTCCTTCAATAACGGAAGAACAGGCTTTTCAGTTCAATTGCCATTAAGCATAATGTACAAAATGTCATTTTTCAATAATTCAATAATTCTGACATTCTGTAACATTCAAACGCGCGCACACACACACACACACACATAAATTCAATAGTTTAGCATAGTCACTGTAACATACTTTTAGCTGGATAAGTGGAGACCTGGTTCCAATGTCAGCTTTGCCTCTAAGTAAACATGTGACCTTGATCTCTTAACTTTTCTTGAACTTGGGCCTGGGACAGACAATTCCTGAGATCCAGTTTTGCTTTTATATTCCAGTATGATCTTCTCCAGAAGTGTTATCACTCTAGGCTCAAAATAATCTCCCCCTTTTCTGAGCTCTAGTAGCAGTTTTTCTGTGACTCTATAAGGCTCTTGTTTTTTTCCGCCTTATATTTTGGTTACTTTTGTTCATGAGTATAGCATAAAAACATGCATTTCTGGAATTAGACAAATCTAGAATCAAACCCAAGCTTTGCCCTTACTAAGTTATGTAACCTATAACCGTCAGTTACCTTAATTATAAAATGGGAAACACCATGTTTCTCTCTGAATATTCTTATGAGAATGAGTAATGTAGTAGTCAGCAATATTTTCTGTAAAAGGCCAGATATTATTTTAAATGTTGCAGACCAGACTGCCTCTGTTGCAACTACTCAATTCTATCATTATAGCTCAAAATCAGCCTTAGGTAATATGCAAACAGTTGGACACGGCTGTGTATCAATAAAATTTTATTTACAAAGATAAGTGGTGGATTGGATTTGGCCCTTTGGCTGTAGTTTGCCAACCCTTGATATAAAGTATATTAAAAATACTTGCCACAGTACCTGATGCAGAATAAATGTTTGATAAATAAAATAAAATAATGGCTATGTGTATTTTAAAATCAGTTCTTTTTTTAGTGCTCAACATCTCGAATCATTAGAGAAATGTAAATAGAAACCACAGTGAGATACCATCTCACACCAGTCAGAATAGCTATTAAAAAGTCAAAAAATAACAGATGCTGGTGAGGTCACAGAGAAAGGGAAAGTTCAGTCATCGTAGTAAGCAGTTGGCAATTTCTCAAACAACTCAAAGCAGAATTACCATTTGACTCAGCAATCCCATTATTGGATATATATCCAAAAGAATATAAATCATTCTACCATAAAGACACATGCACCAAATAAATATATGTATGCTCATTGCAGCACTGTTCACAATAGCAAAGACATGGAATCAACCTAAATGCCCATCAGTGGTGAACTAGATGAAGAAAATGTGGCAGCTGGGTGCAGTGGCTCACGCCTGTAATCCTAGCACTTTGGGAGGCTGAGGCAGGTGGCTCACAAGGTCAGGAGTTCAAGACCAGCCTGACTAATATGGTGAAACTATATCTCTACTAAAAATATTTTCTAAAAAAATTAGCCAGGTGTTGTGGAACGCACCTGTAGTCCCAGATACTCAGGAGGCTGACGCAGGAGAGTCACTTGAACGCAGGAGGCAGAAGTTGCAGTGAGCTGAGATCGTGCCACTGCACTCCAGCCTGGGCGACAGAGTGAGACTCCATCTTGAAAAAAAATGTGGCACTATACACCATGGAATAGTACACAGACTAAAAATTTAAGAATGAGATTATGTCCTTTGCAGCAACATGGATGGAACTTGAGGCCATTATCCTAAGTGAGCTAACAAAGGAACAGAAAAATACAGTTCAATGAACAGTACAGTACTGTTCAATTGAACATGCAGTAGAAATGCTGCATGTTCTCACTTGTAAGTGGGTGCTAAACATTGAATATATATAAACACAAAGAAGGAAACAACAGACACTGGGGCCTACTTGAGGGTAGAGGGAAGGAGGTGGATGAGAATAAAAAAACTGCCTTACCGGGTCCTATGCTTATTACCTGGGTGGCAAAACAATCTGTACACAAAACTCCCATGACATGCAATTTACCTATACAAGAAACCTGCACATGTACCCCTCAACCTAAAGTAAAAGTTTAGAAAAATTAATGTTATTTTTCAATAGTAAGCTCTTAGCTCTTTAAATTCAAGATAGTTGGTTTTTGGGTTTTTTTTTTTTTTGTAACATCTACCAAAGGTTTAGGACAATGTACTGTATATGAGAGATAGTACATTGAATAAACTATTGGCATTTAAAGGTCCTTAAGAGAATGCCCCCTTTCTCTCCATAATTTTATTACCAAAAAAGTGGACAACTAGTCTCCTTGCAAATAATTTTTCCAAGTTTGCAGACTCACCATCATCACCACCTCATTTGACAACTCTATATATGATTTAGTTCTGTATTGTAAATTCCATTCTTATACCTAGTAATTTCATAGCCTGCTGATGGCTGAGAACCCCATTGTCTTGTGGAATAAAAGAAGCTGCTCATTTGTAAAAAGTGGCAAAATCACTGCTTGCACAGAGAACCAGAAAACTTCCCCCAACCCAATTCATTTTTAAGGAAACACAAAATATTCTCCATGGTGATGTGTTTGGTAGGTGTAAAATCCAGTACTAAGTACAACGTAAGTTGATGGGACCTGACAAAATGGGACATATGTAGAGTGTGGTGCTAGGAGGGAGAGTTATAAAAAGCAGCACAGAGTATCAGCTGCCCCAGCTAATCCTCGGGGCCTTGGGTGGCATTTGCTCTAATGAATACCAGACATTATGCACTGCTGAAATCAAACCATGTTGTTGTTGCTGTTGTTGTTTTCTTGCTGTTCTATGAAGGTCTTTACATGCTAGAATCGTGAAGAATATAATGCTCCCAAGCTTAGACCCAGAGGCAATTATTTTATCTCTGGTTCTCTGGTATAGCACATTCAGGCCCTGAAATGCCCTAACAATTGTTTTAGATTAGGTGGGGTTTGTCCTATGGCAGGTTGTTTTAGACTTTTCTTTCATTGTATTCTCTGAAATAAAAATAAAAACCTTGGTAAAGGAGAATTGGAGATATCATTTTAAGGAGGTACAAGCTGTTGAGAGATTTGAACTACAAGAATCTAATTATTTGCCTAGAATGAGCCAGATATCCAGAACTGAGCAAGATATGAACCTTGTCTTGGAATGGCTTCAGTCTAACAAGGAAGGTGGACACGTGATAAATTAAGTAATATGAATAAATAGGAAACAAGGAAAACAAAAGTGGCTCTAATTTTGCCAATGAATTATGTGACCAAAATATTGTCAGAACGTGGGTGTTGGCCTCCACACTCTTGTTTTTCACTGGGCTTAATTTAACTAGAGGCCAAGGAGTAACTAGTGCTAATATATACCCAGCTGCAGGTTTGACTCAAGTTTAGGCCAAGGGGCAACAGTTGTCCATGTCTTACAGGTGCTGAAGAGTTTCTGCTGAAGTTCCATTAGAAAGTAATTTCCCTGCACACTCAGGTTTACAACACAAATACTCCCAGGAGAGGTAATCCATTGGCTTAAATCCATTGTAAGTTCTAAAGAGCTGATATAAAATTTATTTCTGATAGTAAGCTTGATGTCTGTGAATAGTGAGAATGAATACCCTGGATTCCTAAGAGGAGAAATGGGATAGAACGAAGAAAGATTGGAAAAGATACAAGGAAGGGGCTAGAAGTACCAAAGGAAAACTCAAAAACTGTCTTCACGTTACACAGTAAATACTTAAGCAATGATTTAATTACGTAAGCATGTGGTCCACATGTTAAAAAGTAATGTTCTGTCCTGATACTCTGTATTTGCATTTTCCTGAAACCTAAAGCAGATACCAGTCTCATTTAATCTGGGAAAAATTCCATGCTTTTCTTAGCTTTGTAGGTGTAGGAGTAGAATTAACTCTCCATGGACACCAAAGCCCAAGGCTTTGATGGTCAAACAAAACAAATAGAGAACTATACAGTCCATTGATTTCATAACAAGCAATATTACATTTCCCAATACTTCATATATCTGTATTCCAAAAGGTAGGGGTCTGGAAAAAGAGAGAGAGAGAGAGGGAGAGAGAGAGAGAGAGAGAGAGAGAGAGAGAGAGAGAGAGAGAGAGAGAGAGAGCGCAGTAGACCAGAACTCCATTAAGTGCCCTCCTTATAAACACTTGGGGTACTTGAGTAAAATTCAAGCAAATCTTTTAAATAGGAAGGAGAGGTCTTAGCTCAGTGTTAACAAACCCTTTATCTGGTGATGCAGGACACAATATTTGTTGATGAAAAAGTATCAATCCATTTCTGTCCATTTTTCTTCTTTAATATTCATTCTCTAATGTTTATCTTACTCTCTGTTTTTTTCTAAGTCTTTTGTTGACCCACCCCATTAATTATTGATCATCTCTGACAAAAGCATACATTTTGCTTTGTTAATCCTCTTCAGAGAAAGTCAATAATCCAGAGACTGTACTGGGCCTAGATATCAAGCACTGAGTAAGCATGTCCTTCACCTTAAATGGGGAAAGAGAGTCAAATTCTAAATTCAGAGTCACATTCTAAATTCACATAACTTACAATAACTTGAATCCATACTGAAATAGTGAGGTGAGTCTCGAAGGTTGTATATACTATTGTTTAAATAGCATTTGTTGAATTTAGCATAATGAGTTGAAATAAAGGTCAGGACATCATGGGATATGGTGGACAACATGAAAGTAAAAAGAAGAAGGTGAGTATTTTTGAAGAAGACCACATTGTCTCACATGCCCACAGTACCTTTGCTGATATTGTCTTCTTTTTAAAAATCCCATTGCTTCTGA